CACGTGACACCTAGGGGGAGCAAAGTTGTTATTGATTAGCTTGTTGCAGTATTAAATTGAAACAAGTTTGAAAAATAATTGTAAAACTGCATAGGAGGGTAGGTGTTATTGAGGTTAATGATCGACAAAGATTAGAATACTCTGATATCAGTAAGACATTGTTTGGTTTTATCGTAATATACTAAATTTTCGTTTTGATACTCCAAAAAATGAGCTGCAAACATTTTGTTTTTTTTCTCTCAAAACATTACTACGTAGCAGGCAAAAGAAATTGTTTTGGGAAAATATGCAAAATGCAAGCAGCTTTCTAAATATGCCCAGGATGAGCAAGGCTAGGGTAAAGCTGCAGTCTAACAGATGTTTTACTATCTGAAGGCGATAACACAGATTTTTTCACAGTTTACGCACGAAGTCTTAGATCAATTGTCGTACCTTACCTTACTCATCTCCAAATATAACAATAATAATATGCACGTTGTTCAGACATTGACAAAACTTCTACGGTGAGTTAACACTGCAAGAGAAGTAACCCTGGGGAATATATAGAGGATCTAGCACGAGTGTTCATGTTATATTGAATTTATTGAACGAGTATATTAATTTCATATGAAATTAATATACGAGTTCAATAAATTCAATATAACATGAACACGAGTGTTAGATTCTATTTATTATATAATTCGAGAAACCTACCTACATAAGTGGTTTCAATACTAACGTCTCTATATGCAATGACGACGAGAAAGGACGCATCACATATACTAATTTGAGAGCATGTTCCGCTAACAAAAGTAGTCCGCAGAATTTTATCAGAATAATAAATGGCCAACAGTTTTACTTTTAACGATCATTTTAATTGTGATAACAATTGAAATAATAAAAGTTTACAAAATATGACTTCTTTTTTTTCGCTTCGGAAAAAAACTGTTTTTTTTCATCGGTGACGTCATGAACAGTGTAAGAGCGCGCGCACTGTGAAGGTCGTCGGAAACCGAAAACACATGTGTTGGATATTAGGCCTACTGAGAATCACTGTCACTTTCTATAACACGGGCGCGTTTTTTCAGAGGAGGTCCTTGGTAAACATGAACTTGTATGTTTCCTCCTGTGACAGCACCTGAAAAGATACTTTGGAAACCGCCCTGGACCCTGACAACAGAGGAAGTTGACTGGTTACACGCCATTGATTGTTGTGTCAGTGATGTTGTGTTGCATCCGGTCTCAGGTGCTGTTGGATTTCCGTGCAGTATTTTGGAGATTTCTTTGTGTTGATTCGTGTTGATGTGTGAATAATTATTAATAGAAGAAATGTTTCGGTGACCAGAAATTTGCATTATATGGTTAGCGGGGATGTTATTATCGTTCAATTTCTGGACAAGATATTTCCTCGCACTGTGATTTGACAAGTGTTTGTCAGTTTGGATTCCTGCTCCCTTTATGGCACGTTGCATCATGGATTTTAGCTTGTTGATACCAACGGGTTGGCGCTTGAACCAAGTCTCATGACTTCCAGGTGAGCTTTTTGTTGTAGTAGCTATATAAAATGGATCTGATCCTTTACAGTAAGTCGTAGGTCTCATATCTGCATAGCATTTGTAAACATGAACAGGACACCTTTCGGGATTTTCAGTGTTTGCCCACAATTTTGGTTTTACTTTGCGTACATCACGGGTGTTCTCCCCTGTCCTGGTTTTTGTTTGTCTTTCCGTAAACTCTAGATATTCATGTCCGTCAGTGTGGTTTTGTAGTGTAACGTCCCCCCAGCACATATCGCGATGCTCCGCTGATCCCCGTAAACCAAAATGTACTGTATTGAAAAACCAAAGTGTCTGTAAAATAGCGTCAGGGTTTTGAGTTCCAAATTGACCTTTTCTCCACAAAACGTCGATCTCCTCGTCGCTGATAGCATCACTACGGTTGTCAAGGTTACCTTTTCCATCGCGTTTTAACTGTTTTTGTTTACTTTTCAACACTTCTCTAACCTGGGCAAACAGGGGACTAGTAATAATAGCATGACCATAATTAAATCGGCGTAGCTGGCGATCAAAGCTTGACATCATAGATCTGAGACTGTTTGGTTCATATTCAGAACCGTCCACTTTTCGGACACTCATGAAAAATTGGGAAAGCAACGGAGATAATTCGGGAGGGGGTATGTTTTGAATACTTCGGGATTCGTTGATTTCTGGAGTTTCGAAAAAGGCTTTCAATACTTTCATGTCATTCCACGTTTTCAGTAGAGTGTTCTTATTTGATTGTTGTTCAATGAATGACCCAATTTCCGTTTGTTGGACCGGAACAAACCTTTGAGTTTGGTTGGGTGTCGTCTGCTTTTGTGGTAGCGAGGACGACTGAGTCATAGTCTGGGGTATTGGCTCTAACCGATCACCTGGCAAGTCAACCTCAATATCACTTCCCTCGATTAAAACTCTATAAAATGTTGCAAATCCCATTGGAACAAGTTCTTGTACTGTGCCCCTACCTTTGCCGTCAATTCGAACAGAATCCCCAATGTTTACGTCAGCCATGTTGTAGTAGGCCTATACTATAGTAGTAGTAGTAGTAGTGCGTAGGAATACGACCTAGTTCCCACGGTGTCGCGCGCTCATTTGCATCTTTATTGCACACGTTCAATATCAATTTTATTGCACCCCTTTATTGCACTGCAGAAGCCTTATATTATATAATAATTACTTCTACGGTGAGTTAACACTGCAAGAGAAGTAACCCTGGGGAATATAGCGAGTTATATACCAAATGCCGATAGAAAAGAGTCCTTTAAGAATATTAAGTTTGAATATACCAATATATACAATATATAAACTAAATGTACAAAAGCGGAAAACGGAGAGTGTTTACAGTGTTTAAAATCGCAATCAAAATAAACGTTTGGAGATATCTTTTATCTGTGATGAAATACTTAAATATGTATAAAGTACATCTTCAAATCCTGCGTGTTTTAGTGTATTTTTCTCACGAATCCAATTGCAAAATTTTGAGATGAATAAGATAAGTTTAAAGGTTGACAAAGCATAAAATGAATACAGTACAACAAAATATCGATATCTACGGAAAAACAACAACATTACCGCATGACAATGGTCATAAAGTTGCATTTGTTATTCCTAAGAGACAAGTGAAGCTAGGAGCTACTGCGTCAGAGATAAAAGGAGGTACTTTTCTACCCAAGGTTTGCGCGCAAGTGTGATATGCTTCATCGAGGACTCGCCTGTAAATCCAGGTCAAATCCACGTAATGTCACGTCCTTAAACCGAAAACTCGGGTAGAGACAATAAAACCACACACAATGCACATTTTTGGGCTTGATCAACACATTGCCTTCACATCACACAAAGAAATAACATATTACCCTACGAGATCATGTAGGCGAGCATAAAACCTGTCTATAGTCTTCATTAACCCTGCATCTTTGAACACCTATGTTGTAAGTTATTGCGAAGCGGTCGACATCTATCACGGAGGTCATGATATTCGGAGCAAGACCTTAAATACTGAATCAACTGCAACATGTGAACACCGTGGTTAGAGAAGTGGGGATGTTACTATCCAGAAAGGGAAAGTGCAGGATTGGAAAGTTGAAATCGTCCCGCGTATTATACAGCTCAGCAATCAGCCTTTATTATTGGTCATGTTGTATATAATGATCGAGAAAACCGGCTGCAGAAGAGTCTGTAGTGTCCCAGTTGTCAACTTCTAGCGTGTATAAACGATTCATGTGGTCAATACATTCCTTGTTTTTCAAAGACAGTACATCACCGATAAATGTAGTTGTGGAACTGATCGATTTTGGTTTTTGCTTCACGTCCTGATAAGCTCTTCAATAAGTTAAGCCTCATATGAAAACCTATTTAAATCAACATGAAAAGGGGCACAGCTTGGACCAATAGGAGTGTAGTTTGCTGGAAAATTTTGCCACAGAACATATCGACCTTGTTGATTGTCTTTAGGAATTGAAGATGTGGCTCATTTTGTCCTACTGTACAAAACATGGTATACATAAATCTTTGTGTATTGACGTAGTGATCCATTTCATTTTTGTTTATCGACGTTGTGGTATTTTTTTGTTTTTGTGTATTGACGAAGTTGTACATGTGTTCATTTTCGATTGAGATTGTGGTAATTTTGTGAGTTGTAATTCATTGTCACTTTTTCCCGACATTTTGGTGCACTTCATTTCTGTGTAATTGGACTATTTCAATTTGTACCGTGTTAATATTACATAACACCTCTTTTTAATGATGACATACGTTCGTCCTTGTGGATTGTCGATATTGTTAATGTGTCTTTAGTAATTTGCGATATGGTTGATTTGTTTACAGACGATGTAATACATTAGGCCTTGTCTATTGACGTTGTGGTATATTTTGATGAAGTGCATTGCTACTACCGTAAAATTTGTCATCGTGTACTAACGATGTGTTGAATTCTGTCGTTGTAAATGGTCGAGTTGGTGCATCAGTTCTTGTGTATTGAAGATGTGGTAGGTATTCCTCTTTGGGATTGACGATAAGGTAATTTTTGTCCTTTTGGATTGTCGATACGGTACATTTGCTCCGTTGTATTGACGACGTTTTACGTTTAACCCTAATTAACCCTATTACAGAAAAGGTGTTAACTGAAATGACGCTCCATAAATCATCAAATAAGAAAATGATCTTGTTTAGATTTTCTGACTCCAAACAGAGGAGTCAGTACGAACGATGCTCACGCGACCTACAGCAGCCACGACTAATATGGCTAATGAATATTGAAAGCGATTGCTCAAAATTTCGAAATTACTAATCAACTCCTAATAGTCGAATGTCGTGTTTATATCAGTAAACTTAATTATTTATATAGACGGAATACAAACGATCTGAATGTAATGAAGTTATTTATAAATATACAAAAGCTTTAAATTCCAGTGCTGTAAGTATATAAGCTATTTAAATGCTGGTTTATTGGTTACAAAAATGTATTTAATAAACGAATCTCCTTACCCAACAAGACAAATATGGAAAGTGCTGCCCAGAAATTCATCAAAGCCCGTTTGCGCTCCGACTGATTAGATTGTAGACCTGCAGGTCTGCGCACAATGTTCACAATCACCATGATGAAGACGACGATGTTGATCAAAATGACCAGGCCTACGGGTAATGCAAAGGCGTAGTAAAATGGTTGAAGTGACATCCAGCAGCTGCAATGAAAAGGAATGCAGGATTATATAACACAGGATTAAAGAGACATCTAGCATTTCGTTAAATAGAATGACTGTTTGTGAATACAATACAGGGCTCAAGTGGAGTTCAGCAGATAATCAATGCAAAATTATATAATTCAGATTTGAATTGACATCAGGTTACTGCAAAAACGGATCAAATGCAAATTTATATCAGGCTTACATGACATCACTCACCTACAACAAAGGACATGTAGTTCTTTCGGTAATCAGCGACGACGACTATGACAATTATGACGAGTCTATGAATATGTTTCTTTGTTTCAGGGACAACTTTATATGGTCCTTATACCGTTTATGGTGACCTCCAGCAAATCATTTTTGCAGATGACAGTTCAACCTTGATAAGTTGCTTTGGTATATCATAAAGTCTCATCCGACATATTGGGAAAATCCAATGCACCAGGGACTGGTGCAGGAGGGATCACATTGTTGAACAATTAGAATAATGGGCCGATATTTCATCAAATCGTTTGTAAGAAATTGATTTTTTTTGTATCATTTGAAGGCATCGAAAACATTTTAAAGAAACAAATACTAACCAGTGATACCCGCTGTGGTAAACTATCATAAAGGGAACTTTCTGGTGATTTTTGTTGATGTAAAAATTCAAGTGTAACATGTATCTACTGTATACTAATTACTTACTGTGCTAGTGAATTATACCTTCGTTCATTCTGGTATAACAGTAACTTACTAGTGAATACCGCCGTCGTTCATTCTGGTATAACAGTAACTTACTAGTGAATACCGACGTCGTTCATTCTGGTATAACAGTAACTTACTAGTGAATACCGACGTCGTGAATAATTGTATAACAGTAACTTACTAGTGAATTATACCTTGGTTCATTCTGGTATAACAGTAACTTACTAGTGAATACCGACGTCGTTCATTCTGGTATAACAGTAACTTACTAGTGAATACCGACGTCGTTCATTCTGGTATAACAGTAACTTACTAGTGAATACTGCCGTCGTTCATTCTTGTATAACAATAACTTACTAGTGAATACCGCCGTCGTTCATTCTTGTATAACAATAACTTACTAGTGAATACCGCCGTCGTGAATAATAGTTTAACAATAACTTACTAGTAAATACCGCCGTCGTGAATTATTGTATAAAAATAACTTACTAGTGAATACCGCCGTCGTGAATTATTGTATAACAGTTACTTACATTGTATAACAGTAACTTTCTAGTGAATACCGCCGTCGTGAATTATTGTATGACAGTAACTTACTAGTGAATTCCGCCGTCGTTTATTCTTGTATCACAGTAACTTACTAGGGAATACCGCCGTCGTGAATTATTGTATAAAAATAACTTACTAGTGAATACCACATTCGTGAATGATTGTATAACAGTAACTTACTAGTGAATACTGCCGTCTTTCATTCTTGTATAACAATAACTTACTAGCGAATACCGCCGTCGTTCATTCTTGTATAAAAATAACTTACTAGTGAATACCGCCGTCGTAAATGATTGTATCACAGTAACTTACTAGTGAATACCGCCGTCGTGAATAATAGTTTAACAATAACGTACTAGTAAATACCGCCGTCGTGAATTATTGTATAAAAATAACTTTCTAGTGAATACCACATTCGTGAATAATTGTATAACAGTAACTTACTAGTGAATACCGCCGTTGTTCATTCTTGTATAACAGTAACTTACTAGTGAATACCCCCGTCGTTCATTCTTGTATAACAGTAACTTTCTAGTGAATACCGCCGTCGTTCATTCTTGTATAACAGGAACTTACTAGTGAATACCGCCGTTGTTCATTCTTGTATAACAGTAACTTACTAGTGAATACTGCCGTCGTTAATTCTTGTATAACAGTAACTTACTAGTGAATACTGCCGTCTTTCATTCTTGTATAACAATAACTTACTAGTTAATACCGCCGTCGTGAATAATAGTTTAACAATAACTTCCTAGTAAATCCCGCCGTCGTGAATTATTGTATAAAAATAACTTACTAGTGAATACCGCCGTCGTGAATTATTGTACTAGTGAATACCACCGTCGTTCATTCTTGTATAACAGGAACTTACTAGTGAATACCGCCGTCGTTCATTCTTGTATCACAGTAACTTACTAGTGAATTCCGCCGTCGTTTATTCTTGTATAACAATAACTTACTAGTGAATCCCGCCGTCGTGAATAATAGTTTAACAATAACGTACTAGTAAATACCGCCGTCGTGAATTATTGTATAAAAATAACTTACTAGTGAATACCACATTCGTGAATGATTGTATAACAGTAACTTACTAGCGAATACCACCGTCGTGAATGATTGTATAACAATAACTTACTACTTACTAGTGAATACCGCCGTCGTAAATGATTGTATCACAGTAACTTACAAGTGAATTCCGCCGTCGTTCATTCTTGTATAACAATAACTTACTAGCGAATACCGCCGTCGTTCATTCTTGTATAAAAATAACTTACTAGTGAATACCACATTCGTGAATAATTGTATAACAGTAACTTACTAGTGAATACCCCCGTCGTTCATTCTTGTATAACAGTATCTTACTAGTGAATACCGCCGTCGTTCATTCTTTTATCACAGTAACTTACTAGTGAATTCCGCCGTCGTTTATTCTTGTATCACAGTAACTTACTAGGGAATACCGCCGTCGTGAATTATTGTATAACAGTAACTTACTAGTGAATACCAACGTCGTTCATTCTGGTATAACAGTAACTTACTAGTGAATACTGCCGTCGTTAATTCTTGTATAACAGTAACTTACTAGTGAATACTGCCGTCGTTCATTCTTGTATAACAGTAACTTTCTAGTGAATACCGCCGTCGTGAATTATTGTATAACAATAACTTACTAGCGAATACCGCCGTCGTTCATTCTTGTATAAAAATAACTTACTAGTGAATACCACATTCGTGAATGATTGTATAACAGGAACTTACTAGTGAATACCGCCGTTGTTCATTCTTGTATAACAGTAACTTACTAGTGAATACCACCGTCGTGAATGATTGGATAAAAATAACTTACTAGTGAATACCGCCGTCGTGAATTATTGTATGACAGTAACTTACTAGTGAATTCCGCCGTCGTTTATTCTTGTATCACAGTAACTTACTAGGGAATACCGCCGTCGTGAATTATTGTATAACAGTTACTTACATTGTATAACAGTAACTTTCTAGTGAATACCGCCGTCGTTCATTCTTGTATAACAGTAACTTACTAGTGAATAACGCCGTCGTTCATTCTTGTATAACAGGAACTTACTAGTGAATACCGCCGTTGTTCATTCTTGTATAACAATAACTTACTAGTGAATACCACCGTCGTTCATTCTTGTATAACAGTAACTTACTAGTGAATACCGCCGTCGTGAATTATTGTATGACAGTAACTTACTAGAGAATACCGCCGTCGTGAATTATTGTATGACAGTAACTTACTAGAGAATACCGCCGTCGTGAATTATTGTATGACAGTAACTTACTAGTGAATACCACTGTCCTTCATTCTTGTATCGTGAATTATTGTATGACAGTAACTTACTAGAGAATACCGGTATAAAAATAACTTACTAGTGAATACCACATTCGTGAATGATTGTATAACAGGAACTTACTAGTGAATACCACCGTCGTTCATTCTTGTATAACAGTAACTTACTAGTGAATACCACCGTCGTGAATGATTGTATAACAATAACTTACTAGTAAATACCGCCGTCGTAAATGATTGTATCACAGTAACTTACAAGTGAATTCCGCCGTCGTTCATTCTTGTATAACAATAACTTACTAGTGAATACCGCCGTCGTAAATGATTGTATCACAGTAACTTACAAGTGAATTCCGCCGTCGTTCATTCTTGTATAACAATAACTTTCTAGTGAATACCGCCGTCGTGATTGATTGTATAACAGTAACTGACAGTGAATAACACCGTCGTGAATGATTGTATAACAGTAACTTACTAGCGAATACCACCGTCGTGAATGATTGTATAACAATAACTTACTAGTGAATACCGCCGTCGTGATTGATTGTATGACAGTAACTTACTAGTGAATACCACCGTCGTTCATTCTTGTATAACAATAACTTACTAGTGAATACCACCGTCGTAAATGATTGTATAACAATTACTTACTAGTGAATACCGCCGTCGTGATTGATTGTATGACAGTAACTTACTAGTGAATACCACCGTCGTTCAGTCTTGTATAACAATAACTTACTAGTGAATACCGCCGTCGTGATTGATTGTATGACAGTAACTTACTAGTGAATACCACCGTCGTTGAGTCTTGTATAACAATAACTTACTAGTGAATAACGCCGTCGTGATTGATTGTATAACAGTAACTTACTAGTGAATACCACCGTCGTTCAGTCTTGTATAACAATAACTTACTAGTGAATCCCGCCGTCGTGATTGATTGTATAACAGTAACTGACAGTGAATACCACCGTCGTGAATGATTGTATAACAGTAACTTACTAGTGAATACCGCCGTCGTTAATTCTTGTATAACAATAACTTACTAGTGAATACCACCGTCGTTCATTCTTGTATAACAGTAACTTACTAGTGAATACTGCCGTCGTGAATGATTGTATAACAGTAACTTTCTAGTGAATACCGCCGTCGTGAATTATTGTATAACAATAACTTACTAGTGAATACCGCCGTCGTGAATAATTGTATAACAATAACTTACTAGTGAATACCGCCGTCGTTCATTCTTGTATAACAGTAACTTACTAGTGAATACCGCCGTCGTTCATTCTTGTATAACAATAACTTACTAGTGAATACCGCCGTCGTTCATTCTTGTATAACAGTAACTTACTAGTGAATACCGCCGTCGTTCATTCTTGTATAACAGTAACTTACTAGTGAATACCGCCGTCGTTCATTCTTGTATAACAGTAACTTACTAGTGAATACCGCCGTCGTTCATTCTTGTATAACAGTAACTTACTAGTGAATACCGCCGTCGTTCATTCTTGTATAACAGTAACTTACTAGTGAATACCGCCGTCGTTCATTCTTGTATAACAGTAACTTACTAGTGAATACCGCCGTCGTTCATTCTTGTATAACAGTAACTTACTAGTGAATACCGCCGTCGTTCATTCTTGTATAACAGTAACTTACTAGTGAATACCGCCGTCGTTCATTCTTGTATAACAATAACTTACTAGTGAATACCGCCGTCGTTCATTCTTGTATAACAGTAACTTACTAGTGAATACTGCCGTCGTTCATTCTTGTATAACAGTAACTTTCTAGTCAATACCGCCGTCGTGAATTATTATATAACAGTTACTTACTAGTGAAAACCGCCGTCGTGAATGATTGTATAACAGTTACTTACTAGTGAATTCCGCCGTCGTAAAGACGATAGTCAATAGCTAACACAACAATCACGGGAATAATTGTTTAACAATAACTTACTAGTGAATACCGCCGTCGTGAATTATTGTATAACAGTTACTTACTAGTGAAAACCGCCGTCGTGAATTATTGTATAACAGTTACTTACTAGTGTAAACCGCCGTCGTGAATGATTGTATAACAGTTACTTACTAGTGAATTCCGCCGTCGTAAAGACGATAGTCAATGGCTAACACAACAATCACGGGAATTAAGGGCACCCCTGAAAATAACCATCATGTTAGATTCGTTAAAGGTGTTCACAAAGATCACTAAAAGAAAAGATTTTTTTTTCCTGACAAATAACATAAATACAGAAGCACTTCAGGAACGATTTAAACCGCTGGTCTCAAACTGGTGTTTAGATTAATGTGGCTAATATTTACTATGTTAATTGTATTATAGTGATACAATGGTCTTCATCAATGTAGACATTATCATACCCTAACCCTAACCCAACTAGCAAGAATGCGACTCAGTCAGTTTAAGCTTGATGATTCGTTTAACAATATCGTTATCAAGCGAAACGGCGGCAACCGGAAACATACTGGAAATGCCATATGAGTTCTCAATAAAAGGCAACTTAACATAGTTTTCACCACTGGTGGTAGCTATCATATTTGTTCCAATCAAATGCAGTAAAATTACTTATCAATCAAAGACCTAAGGCATCGTTAACAAGTCTGTAATATACAGAATCAAACAGAAGGAAAATTACTTACCCCAGGCGAAGATTGACGACTTCAGCATAAATCTAGGAATATAGGTTCCAAGCACTTTGACGAAGCGGAGGTACTGTAATAATCCCTCAATGAGCAACCACATAAAGGTGACGAGGATGAAGTAATGAAGAAGGACAGCTACAGCGATACACCCATTGTAATCCTGTGTCTGCTCCACTCCTGCCAGGAAGACAACCCACGAACACAGCATAGCAACAGCCAGCTGAAATAATACCTTCTGTCCACGGGTTTTCCGCAGTGGCCTGTGGAAATCATTGAGTTAAAATATATTTTGATTTGAATTCACTGGATTAACATTACACCTTATACTGACAATTACTGATCAGGTACTGAGGAAATGAATAAGATGTTAAATTAAACCAGGATTGGCAATATACAATGACAGATAACAGTAGAAACGGTTAGGGTGTGCTTACTGTTTTTCTTTCAAAGTTTCTGGTGTAACAACATTTTGCAGTATAATAAAAAACATACGAATTAATTCTTTAGAAAAGAAAAACAATAATAGAAAGACCCAATATTTGTATTAAGTGTTCATCTGTAAATGTAATAATTTTGTTATTTTGTTACAGAACAGATCACCAACATGTACCTAGATATCAGATCAGAACAGATCACCAACATGTACCTAGATATCCGATTAGGACATATTACCAACATGAACCTAGATATCAGATCAGAACAGATCACCAACATGTATCTAGATATCAGATCAGAACCGATCACCAACATGTACCTAGATATCAGATCAGGACAGATTACTAACATGTACCTAGATATCAGATCAGAACAGATTACCAACATGTACCTAGATATCAGATTAGAACAGATCACCAACATGTACCTAGATATCCGATTAGGACATATTACCAACATGAACCTAGATATCAGATCAGAACAGATCACCAACCTGTACCTAGATATCAGATCAGAACAGATCACCAACATGTACCTAGATATCAGATTAGGACAT